ACAACATCAATCCCATGGGTGGGTTTGCTTTTGCCTGAGGCAGGAATAACCCAGACTGTATTCCCCAACATGTTTTTAATGTGCACTGCAGGAACTTTATCCCTTTGTACGGTACATAAAAGTTTTGGCTGGCAGAGCCAGCCCAATGGGCAGATCCCCCATAGCTGAGTGATCAGGTGACCTTTGCTAAATGTGGATCCCAATGTTTGCAAGTCCCACCACCCACTACTCTCAGTCTCCTCTTTACCAGTCCACTGCATTATTCCATCTTTCCTGAGGCTGGTGCATGACGGGTGTGTTGGTTTTAACATCAGCAGGAAATTAAAATCCAAATAAGTCACTCCCTTTCTCCCACTCCTTTTGGTAAGGGATGGACAAAAAAGGAGAGACTGTGGGTTCAGATAATGATTTACTGAAAGCACACAGCAATGGAATAAGACACGCACAGTAACAACAGCAATATTAACAGCAAAAGTATACAAAAAAAGAAAGTGTTTCACCCCCAAAAGGTATTCACCACTGGGCACACAAAGAAGATGGCAGGTGCTCCTCATGGGATGTGTCTGCATAGTGTCCCCAGACAAAGGCAATGCGGTGGGGGAACTCCCGCATGCTGTGCCAAGTGGTATTTGGGAAATGAAGGCAATGTGCTCGGGGAGCTAACATAGCAATGTGCCAAGGCTAACATTTCCCATCCCCTCAGCCTGAAAACAATGAAAACAAGGAAAACCAAACCCCAAACTACCAGGAGCTGGGCCATCCTGGTAGTGCCATGCAGCCGCTCCTTGAGGCTCAGTCCTGCGCAGGCCTCCTTTTCTCTCGCTTGAGAAGCTCAACCTGAGGGGGGATCACCTTGTCACCACTCTGTCCCTGCTGGCAGCTTCCCTGCAGGAGCTGTTGGTTCAGCACTGTTGTCGATTATGTTTTTCCCCTCTGTCCCTTTCAGCATCAGAGGTCCATTGTCATTCTCCGGAGAAAATGGGAGGGGGAACCAGTGGGGCAGAGGACAGGAAGCACAGGTCTGGTGCTGACAGTCCCTCCACCAGAGAGAGCAAAGCAGGATGGGGCACTTTGTGTCCAGAGCCCTGGCTTTTCCTGCCCAAACCACATTCCCAGCGATGACATGGATGTGGAATAAATACCTGGTCATCCCCACACTGCACTAAACTCCACCCCCTTCTGTGTAAGCAGGACACTGCAGTAACTGACCATAGCAATGGGAATTTAGGATGGTTGCCATGGTAACTGACCTTAGCAATGAATCTCATTGGCATTGCCCATGGCAATGGGCTGTAGCAAAGGGTTTGATGATGGTTGCCATGGCAACCAACCATAGCAACACATGGAAGAGGAAGCTGTGATAGCACCAAGATTTTGTAATGGGGCTTTATGACAGTTGCCATGGTAACCAGTCTGCATCAAGAAATTCAGTGCAGGTTGCCTTGCCACCCAACACAAGCCCTGGGTCTTTGTGCAGGTTGCCACAGCAACCACTCCTTGAAATTGGACCCAGTGGAAGTCTCCATAACAAAAGTCCTCAGCAACTAGCATCGGAGGAAGTCACCATGGCGAACCACCATCCTGACGGGTCATTTGTTGGTTGCCATGGAGACCACTGCCATAGCAATGGGGCTCTGTTTAATTGTTCATGGAACCAGTTTCCAGCAACAAGTCTTCTAATGGTTGCCATGCCAACTGATCATATCAAAGGGTTTCAGCTCACATCTCCATGGAAGCAGTCCCCAGTAATGGGTTTTAACTATGCCATGGCATAATTGCCACGTTTAACTATGCCATGGCAACCAGCTATAGCCACCAATCTCAGTGAATGTTCCCACAGTAACCCAACTCCAGTAACTGGACTGTGATTGTTTCTGACTTCAGCAACCAGCTCGTGGGAATGTTGCCATAGCAACTGCCATAGCTATGGGTCATCAGATGGTTTCCATAGAAACCAACCACAGCAATGGACCTGTATGGTGGTTGTCATGGCAACTGGCCCTGGTCATTGGTCTCAGTGCAGGTGTTCATGGAAACAGTCCCTGGCAATGGACTGAGGGATGGTTGCCATGGCAACAGCCCTAGGTCACGAGAAATGGTTCTGGTTGCCATGGCAAGAGTCCCTGGCAATGGACTGATAGTCCAAGTGCTGGTTGCTATGGCAACAGTCCCTACCGACGTCTCTCTGTTTCTCTAGCGCTGGTTCCATCACTAATTGTGGCAATGTCTGAGCAGCTGTGGGACGGGGTACAATCCAGAGAGCAAAAGGGACCAAACTCCTGGGCTGAGGCACAGACAGTTCCATGGGGGCAGCAAAAATCAGGAACTCCCTCCCTGCTTCCCACAGGCAGGGGGGTGTTCAGCATCCCCATGGGAGCAGGGCTCCACCTCAGGGAATGATGACTTCGGGACACAAACACCATCGCTCCCAGTGTTCCCTCCTTCCCCAGTCTGCCCTCCTTTCCCACACCTGACAGTGATGCTGCATGGTCTGGGACATCGCTGGGGTCAGTTGGGGTCACCTGTCCTGGCTGTGTCCCCTCCCAACTCCTGGTGCACCTCCAGCTCCCTTTGCTGGCAGGACAGGTTGAGGAGCAGGAAAGGCCTTGGCTCCGGGCAGAAACAAAAACCTCCCAGAATTTCCCCCCTTGTTCCCAGCCCAGTCCCAGAGAAGCCCCCTGGAAGGAAACTTACTCCCTCCCAGCCCAAATCATCTC